GGCTGTGGGGAGTGGTGATTATGCCACTGCACTCCAGGCTGTGTCATAGAGTTAGAACCTGTCTCAAAAAAAAAAAAAGAAAGAAAGAAATACTGGTGTTGAGTATAAGGGAGAAGTTCCGAAAAGGAAATGTAGCTTCTATTACCAGAATGAAGGAGAGTGGACACAAATCAGACAAAAATTTGATACCAGCTTACTATAGAGAAAAGGACTTTTCAAACTGTACTTCCAGAATTCAGTCCACTGAGTTACTTAAGCAAGTTGAAGAGAAAAGGGGAGTGATAAATGATTGGACTTTCTCTAATTCATGATTACTCCAGCTTCACCTAGAACAGCTTCACTTTTACGTATTTTGTTTATGCAGCTTCTGGTTAGATTTCATTTGAAAATGAATCTCTTTTTTTTTTTTTCTTTTCTTTTCTGAGTTGGAGTCTCACTCTGTCTCCCAGGCTGGAATGCAGTGGCTCGATCTCGGCTCACTGAAACTTTAGCCTTCTGGGTTCAAGTGATTCTCTTGCCTCAGCCTTCTGAGTACTAGGATTATAGGTACCTGCCACCACACCTGGCTAATTTTTGTATTTTTTAGTAGAGATAGGGTTTCCTCATGTTGGCCAGGCTGATCTCAAACTCCTGACCTTGGGTGATCTGCCCACCTCGACCTCCCAAAGTGCTGGGATTATAGGAATAAACCCCTGTGCCTGGCCTGTAAATGAATCTTGACAATACCATTGGTATAGGACAAATTAGCTGATGGTTAGGCCCATAAAATCTTAAAGTAGGTGACATCTTTTCTCACTCCATCCTGATCAACAAGTTCTTGCCCTACCTTTTCCACAGCCCCATTGGCCTAACTCATATTCCTAACCCTGCAAGATCGAGACCTGACTCCTCCACAGTCAGATACATGAAGATCATAAAATTAGGCAGCAGTCCAGTTCTCAACTTACAGATATTATGACTCATAAAAAAATCATCAGGTATCATCGTTTCAGGGGTACTTCTTCAAAAGTTGTCACAATTTGGTGACTTGATATGATCTAGTAATTGTAAAGCAGAAAAGTTTGATATATTCAAGAAATTTGATAGATCATGATGATATGTTTATGCTGAAATTTGCAAGCTAGGCAGTTTTAATTTATATATATATATATATGTATGTAATATATATATGTAAATATATATATATATACATATATATATATATA